AAATCATCCTCCATAAGGATTTTGTGCATGCATAGTGAAGGACTAATTTTCTTAATGTCTGCAATAGTCCAACCAATGGCTCCCTTGTGTTCCCTCAACACCCGAAGTAACTTCTCTTCCTCCAATTCATTTAAGGAATTAGCAATGATAACCGAAAGCATAGATGACTCTCCCAAATAAGCATACCTCAAATGAGATGGTAGAGACTTCAAATCAAGTATAGGTGCCTACTGAAGAGATGGCAGTGGTGGTGAAGAGCTCTTTTCCAAGTCCTCATAATTTGGTGCTCTCTTATAAGACCGAGAAGGTGTAGCCTCCAAATAGTGTACCATATGCTCAACTTCAGGATCTTCCTCTTTGATAGCCGAAGGACAAACAAGACATATTTCTAGAGGATCCTTAGAAAGCCTGTAAAAAGACTCGGCAACCACATGATCAACAACATCCACTCGAAGGCATGAATCAGATTTCGATGGATATTTGATGGCCTTCAAGATATTGAATGTAACTTTTTCATCTTGGACTCTTAGAATGAGCTGCCCCTCTTGCACATCAATCAAAGCTCGGCCGGTGGCAAGAGACGATCGTCCTAAAATGATAGGGATGTCATGATCCTCTTCCATGTCGAGAATTATGAAATCGGCTAGAAATATGAATTTGTCCACCTTGACCAATACATCCTCGATGACACCTCGAGGATATTTAATTGATCGATCAGCCAATTGTAATGATATAGTGGTGGCCTTGGCTTCTCCCAATCCCAGCTTCCTGAAAATAGACAAAGGCATCAAATTAATATTGGCACCAAGATCACATAAAACTTTACTAAAATTTAAATCTCCAATAGTGCATGAAATAGTAAAACTCCCTAGATCTTTGATTTTCGGTGGTAACTTCTTTTGAAAGATAGCACTACACTCTTCCATTAGCATTACTGTCTCATGTTTTTCGAGTTTCCTTTTATTTGAAAGAATGTCCTTCATAAATTTGGCATAACTCGGCATTTGAGCTAATGCATCGAAAAACTGAATATTTATGTGTAGCTTATTGAATACCTCCAAAAATTTTCCAAATTGAGCATCCAATTTCTATTTGTGAAGCCTTTGTGGAAAGGGAATAGGAGACACATAGGCTTTAACCGGTATTGGAGCCTTTGATGTTGATGGCTCCGGTTCTTCTTCAATTAGTGTCTGATCCTTTGGATCAGATTCTTGCATAATCTTTTCTTCTTAAATGGGTGCCTTGTCAGTTTGACCCTTAGGGCGTGTCATCGTGATTTCGGGCAATTGCACCCTACTTCTAGTGGATGTTGCTAGGTAATGCCCCCTGTTGCCTTTCGGAGATAAGCTTTGCAATTTAACCCACTTGACGTTCCAAGTTTTTCAAAGAGGCCTCATTGTGTTCTTGATATTGTAATTGATGGTTTGCCAACTTAGCAATGACCTCTTCCCAACCTTCTTTTTCTCTTGTGGCTTCGGGTTGAGCACATTTTGATTATTTCCAAAAGAAAAGTTTGGATGATTTCACCAATCGGGGTTATAAGTTTGCGAATAAGGATTGTACCCTTGGCGTTGAAAGTTTTGAGTATATGCCACTTGCTCGGTAGATGCTGAACCACTACCTATCAATGGACAACTCGGGATTGGGTGATTTGCTCCACAAATATCACAAATAGGCAGAGATTGTACCATATGAGCGGAATGAGAGCTCATGGTAGATGTAGAAAGTCCTTCTACCTTCTTTGCTAGTGAGTCGATCTTTGCTAGAACCATTGAGAAAGCTTCACCATCTCGAACTCCACCAACCCCTCTTTGTGAACCTCTATCTGGCCACATAACACTTTGTTCACTCATGACCTCAAATAGATCATATGCTTCCCGAATACTCTTCTTCTTAATTGAGCCATTAGATGATGAATCCACATTTGAACGGCAAGAAGGAGTCAACCGGGCATAAAAATAATTCACTTGTTGCCCCATTGTGATTTCATGATTTGGACATTTTCGAAGCATATCCTTGAACCTCTCCGAAGCCTCGTGAAAGCTCTCAAATTCAGATTGTTGGAAAGTCGTTATGTCATGCTTGAGTTTTGCTACTCGGGCAGGTGGAAAGAATTTGGTAGTGAATTTTTAAATAAATTCCAACCAATTATTTATATTTTCGGGTGGTAGAGTCTCAAGACATTCCCTTGCCTTATCCTTCAATGTGTGAACAAATAGCCTCATCCAGATCGTCTCCACATTTACGCCTTCATATTTAAAATTTTCAACATTCTATATGAATCGTGCAACATGTGAGTGAGGATTCTCATCAATCCTTCCATAGAATGGAATGAATTAGGACAAAGTTGAAAGTTTGGATGTCCATATAGAGGGTAGACAATACTTGATTCATTCTCTACTACGGCTGGGTCCAAGAAGTCCCCAAATAGCATATCATCCTCATTTACAATAGGCTCTTAAGCTCTACCCGCTTGGTTACCAAAACCCGATGGAATGCCACCTCGAGGAACATTTTCTTGTTGAGCATTATGTTCCAAATTACCCCCTTGGTGTGCCCCCTCAATCAATTGTTGCCTTCTCAATTCCCATTGTTCCCGTCGTATTCTTCTAAAAGTTTTTTCAATATCCGGATCAAGCTCGAAAAGATCAAAACTTTTCGAACGAAGCATGCACCACTAAAGACCTAAGGAAATCAAAATTAAAAGCTAATTACACAATAAATATATAAAAGCTATGCAAAAGAAAAAAAGAACAAAACTTGTAAAAATTAGAATCAACAAAAGATGATAATTGAAATAAAACATTCCCCGACAACGGCGCCAAAAACTTGTTCGCTAAAATACTACCGCAAGTGCACGGGTCGCGTTCAAGTAATAAAGTGGACCTTTTAAGTCTGGATTGTCGATCCCTCGAGAAATGTTTACTTTAAATTACACAACTTTAATCAATTTAATTCTAACAATGAAAATAAACAAACACACAATAAAAGATTTGATCTAAGAAAAATAAGGAAAAATCTACAAACTAAGAAAGTCTTGGGAATTTTGGAGGAAAATGTGGTTGGGATTCATGATTTTGCTTAACCGTCGCCTAATTAATTTCTCCACATGCCAATTAACGAATTACTCATTTACGATGTTAGACCCGATTTTTCAATTTTAGCTAATTACCTCTCTCGAGTGAAATTAACCATAATTGATTGGTTTAACATACTATATCTCTATGTCGATTACAACCAAACAACCGCATTAAATTGTTATGAAAATAGCTCATTGGGTTACCTAGGGCTAGAGGTATATATCTATCATCTACACAAACCTAAGGTTTCTACCATTTGGTCTAAAATGCACAATCTTCTCTCGAACTATGTACACTTCACGAAACATATTCATTCATTGGCCACATAAATAAAAATACAATAAATACAATAGTAGAAACACATGGAAATAGGCAATTTAATATCAAACAGCAAATATTGAAAATCAATTAAACTTAGATCAAACTACTACCATAAATTCCAACGAAATACTTAGCCCATTTTATACATATGATGGAAAGGAGAATGTTTATAG